TTTTGGGTCTCTCAAAGATCATTCTCCGAACCGTACCTATTGTGCGTCCGAGAAGATAGGGTCGAACCTCTCTTGTACGAGGTACACGAGAGAATATGTGGGGGGCATTAAGGTGGAAAGTCCATGACCCACCGCATCATGTCCCAAGGGTATTGGTGGCCACGAATGTAGAGGGACGCTCAGACATACGTTAAAAAATGTGATCAGTGTCAAAGGTTCACGCCGGCCATCAGGTGACCAGCGGGTGATTTGCATCCGCTTACTAGTCCTTGGCCATTCGCTTAGTGGGGACTGGACCTGGTTAGACCTCTTCCAAGGGCTCTAGGAGACAAGAAGTTTCTGATAGTAGGAACTGATTTTTTCATCAAATAGGTGAAAGCGGAGCCACTGACCCATATTAGGGACATAGATACCAAGAAGTTTGTGTGGAAGAACATAGTAATGAGATTTGGGATCTCTCGTGCACTTGTATCGAACAATAGGACCTAATTTAATAGCAGACCTTTCAAATCTTTTTGAGAGCATCTTGGGATCAGGAATTACAACTCCACCCCTGCGTATTCTCAAGCTAACGGGCAAGCAGAATTCTCCAACAAGACTATCATCAATAGAATCAAGAAAAGGCTGGAAAAGCTAAAGGAAAGTGGGTGGACGAGCTCCTGAACATCCTGTAGGCATACAAGACCACTCCTTGAACCTCTACGGGAGAAACACCTTACGCCCTCGCATATAGGGTGGAGGTGGTTATCCCTCTAGAAGGATGTCCCCCTACTATAAGAACACAAGCCTTCGACCTTGGAGACAATGATCATCAACTCAGCTTGGATATGGACCTCGCAAAGGAAAGAAGGGAAGTGGCTGCCTTAAGATTGACCAAATACCAGGAGGAGGTGTCCAAGCTCTACAACAAGAAGGTCAAACCCCGAGAGTTCCAAGTAGGAGACCTAGTGCTCAGAAGGGTGGTAGTAAACACCCGGGACGCAGCAAACGAAAAAATGGGGCTGAACTGGGAAGGGCCCTACAAGGTCATATCTGTAGGAAGCTCCGGATCATACAGGTTAGAAGACATGACAGGACATGTTGTAACACGACCTTGGAATGTAATGAATCTAAAGAGAAACTACTTTTGATAAATAAAAGCTCATTTTTGTGCAAGAGAGTTTTCCTAGAAAGGGCATGGCTCTGGAAGCAGTGTCCAGGACTCCAACTTCCAAATAAGGACATGAACTAGCCTCCTAGAAAGGGCACGGCCTTGAAAGCAGAGTCCGGGACCCCTACTTCGAAATAAGAGCAGGAGTTAGCCTCCTAGAAAGGGCATGGCTCTAGAAGTAGAGTCCGGGACCCCTGCTTCCGAATCAGAACAGGAGCTAGCCTCTTGGAAAGGGCATGACCCTGGAAGTAGAGTCCGGGACCCCTGCTTCCGAATAAAAATAGGAGCTAGTCTTCTGGAAAGGGCATGGCCCTGAAAACAGTGTCCAGCGCTCCTGCTTCCGAATAAGGATAAGAGCTAGCCTCCTAGAAAGAGCATGGCCCTAGAAGTACTGTCCAGGACGCCTACTTCCGAATAAGGACAGGGATCTAGCTTCCTGAAAAGGGCATGGCCCTAGAAGCTAAGTCCGAGACCCCTGCTTCCGAATAAACACAGGAGCTAGCCTTTTGGAAAGGGCATGACCCTAAAAGTAGAGTTCAGGACTCTTGCTTCCGAATAAGAGCAGGAGCTAGCCTCCTAGAAAGGGCATGAGCCTGGAAGCAAAGTCCAGGACTCCTACTTCCGAATAAGGACAGGAACTAGTCTCCTAAAAAGGGTATGGCCCTAGAAGCAGAGTCTAGGACTCCTGCTTCTGAATAAGCCGTGGAAGCAGAGTCTAGGACTCCTGCTTCCGAATAAGGACAGGAGCTAGCCTCCTGGAAAGGGCATGACCCTGGAAGCAGAGTCTAGGACTTCTGCTTCTGAATAAGAACAAGAGCTAGCCTCTTAGAAAGGGCATGACCCTAGAAACAGAGTCCAAGACTACTGTTTCCGAATAAGAACAAGAGCTAGTGTAATACCCGATACAAGTATGCGTTTGGATTTTTTATAAATAAATAAAAAGAGAGGAAGTTAATTAGAAAATATAAAATTAGTTCTACGCTAATATATTACGGTTAAAACTGTAATTCTAAGAAATTAGAGGGACTTAAGTGACATTAAATGGAGATAACGATAGTATCTATATTGGTAGGGTTATAAGTTATTCAATTACAAAGTATTAAGCTTATGTACATATATATATAGATGTGTGTGTGTGTGTGTGTGTGTGTGTGTGTGTGTGTGTATGTTCATGGTGAAGGATAGTGAAGTATATATAAATGGGTTTTATTAGAAGTTATAAATAATTGATTTAATGTTTTTTTAAAGAATTGATTTTACATAGTATAGATTTATGAATTTTTTTTTGTAGAGGCCTTTAAAGAATTGATTTCATATTTAACAAAGCAAAAAGGAAACAAAGAAGGAGGAAAGTAGCAGCTTACAGACGGCTGGTGAAGAAGATAAAGTTTTGAATTATGGAAACCTCCCCCTTAGTTTAAGTAGTTTTATTTTGATCCCTATACTTTGATAAACTCAATTTTTGACTACTATGGACTTGATAATTTATAAAATCGACCCAGAATGTTTGAAACAAATATGGTTATGTCAAAACAGCCCCCGAGTCTTGAAAAATTTCTGAAATTTTGAAACGACCCCTAAAAGTTTCTATTAAGTGTTTAAATATCAATAGTTACTCTAATAAATCAAATTGAGGTGGTATTATTGGAAAATCGGTCTCTAGAACCTTAAATACTATTCTGAAAAATTTATGGCAGGCCCGAAAGCAGAAAATTCGTTTTTAAGGAAATTACACTTAGACACCAAAAATTTTAAAAAATATGATTTGACCCCATAACTTTAGAAAATTTTTCCGAATAGTCCAAAATACTTTCATACGCTGTTACCTCATACTAGAAAGGATATTTATATGTAAAATATATATTGAGTATAGATTAATGAGTAGGAAGTATAAAAATTAAATATAGAATCATGAAACGACGAAATAAGAAAAAAGGGATTGATTGTTATATGTTATTTTGAATTAGGTGGTGATTGCATTGAGGTTGGAAAAGAGTGCTTTGACTTAGATTTTGGAAATCAAGGTGAGTAGTTTATTACTTCTTATGGGAGGATTTTCTATATTAAACTTGTGAGTGCGTGTGTGTGAATTTTTCATGTATATTATATATGTTGATGTTTGGGGTTGCAATTAAATATTTTTGTAATTGTGAATTGTTACACATGTGAATTTGCAAAACTTATGAGATGATTTTATATTATTGCTTAAATGTTTTTGGTGATGAAAGAGATATTTTGTGTGCGATGGGACTAAAACAACAGTTTTAGTGTGTGTGTTGAAATTATGTTTTATGAGAAGGGGACTGGGTTATCAGGTCTAAATGGTAACGAGATTGTACACCGGTGTGGTCGGTATAGGGATGTGCACATAGGAGCCAATTATCAGGCTAGTGATAACAAAAGACAGGGTCAATCATCAGGCTCGTGATGACAAGAGATGAGACCAGTTACCAGGCTAGTGGTAACAAATATGATTTGACAAGTGTATTTGAGACTGAATGTGTGTGTGAGTGTTTTGAGCTATAAATATCTTTTTTTTATAAAGATATTATGATTATGAGATCATTTTGTTTACATGGTTATGTGAAAGGGATTGGGGTACAATTTAGTGTATGTATGTATATAACAAAGTTTATTTCTCTGTATATGAAATGTGAGATTTATTTTCAAACCTCATTAGAGATGGTTGCTACTCACGGGCCTTTGTGCTCACCCAAATATTTAATATTTTTCAGGTGAGGATCAGGAGGAGGAGTAAGTCCTCGGATAGACAAGAGATTAGAAGAATCAAAAATTTATTTTATTGTAGGTCTTCAAGAATAAATATTTTTTTACAGTTTTGAGACAAGTATTCTATTGTTTTGAGAACAATGTTGTTTTTGTTTAGAGTAGTGAACCTTATGGATTAATTATTATTTTACATGAGTTTAGTAATAATGTCGGTGATGTTAGTTTATTTCTCTGATATTCATTAGGTCGGTAAAAATGATCAATTTATTATTTGTCTTCCGCTGTATTTTGCGTTAATTATGCACAGGGATGGTTGGTTAAGACCTTGGTGGCTGGTCCACTGCTCACCCTATGTGATCTGGGGTGGGGGTGTGACAGCTAGCCTCTTGGAAAAGGCATGACCCTCAAAACAGAGTTTAGGACTCCTGTTTCCAAATAAAAACAAGAGCTAGCCTCTCGGAAAAGGCATGACCTTGGGGACCAAAGACTAGGAAACCCAGCTTTCAATTATCATGCAAGAGTGTGACTCCTGAATGAAAAATGACCCTTTAGAAGGGGTGCTAATCGGCTAATCTACTTAGAACAAGGATACTCCGCCATGCAACATCTTACATAAGTGAATTATTGTAAACTCATCTAGGATCCCTCAAACACGCGTTTGTCTATCCACACCTCGGGAGACTAGTTCGATCACTAGAGTGCTTGCACAAGTACATGGGTGCGGGTATTTTAAATCAGGTCGATGGGGCAAGTGGATACCCCACCCCCTCAGATTGATCAGCGTTGAAGATGAAGCTAATCGGAGTGAAAATGTCTTATTCACCGGTACTCGGTCCCGAGGACACTGGAAACCTCCATTCAAGCTCATGTTCAACTTCTCCTCGGGATCCATTATGCCCTTTATCTATTGGCCCCGAAGGTCAACACCGCAGTGAGAAATTGTCTGGGGTTAGTTTTCCAGAGTTAAAATTTATACAAGAAGTTACACAAACAAGGGAGAGCATGCATGATGGAAAAAGAGAAATTTTCATTCCGAAAGGCAGGGCTTTGCATTCCCAAGGCTACATAGCAAAAGGAAAGAGTACAAATTTAAAAGAAAAAAAAACTTAAGTCTGAGTGACTAGGGAATGTCGGCCAGAGGAGCAGGAGGAACGAGTGGCTCTGTCGATTCGAGAGCTGGGGGATCTTGGGGAAGGGCGTTGTCAACCGGGATTGAAGCTCTAGTGTTGGCAGCATTTGCAGCTTCTGCGGCTTCTTCGACAGCGACCTCAGCCATGGCCTGCAGCATCTCCGTAGAGGGCATGTACACATGCATTTGGAACAAGGGAGAGTCCAGAGGGACCCTTGCCTCTCGGAGTGCCGCGTCCCAGCCTTTCTTATAAAATTCCCTCTTGTTCTACTCGAGGACTTTGAGGATTTCGTCGGCAAATTCATCTCGAATTTGCTCCTCTGACTTCTTGCCGCCTCGGCCTCGGCCCTCACCTTGTCTAGCTCCTCTGTAGCTGATAGCCTTTGCGTCGCCCCGTTATCCTCCTCTCAGCATCCTCCAGGGCCGCACTTAGCTTTTTAGTGCTAACCCTGGCGGTCTCGTCGTCCTTAAGGAGTTGGGCAATTAGAGCTGCTTGAGAAGAAAGAGTGACATCCCTGGCGACAATGTCCTCTCGGACGACAGCTAGGGATGTCTCAGCTTCAGTCCTCCACCTCTCAGCCTCGTGGAGACCCTGCCTTTGATCATGGTAGCACTCAGCAATGACAGAAATTTGCTAGGCATTCTACAAAAGAAAAAAGATCAGGCCGATGAAACANAAAAGGTGGGGCTTTGCATTCCCAAGGCTACATAGCAAAAGGAAAGAGTACAAATTTAAAAGAAAAAAAAACTTAAGTCTGAGTGACTGGGGAATGTCGGCCAGAGGAGCAGGAGGAACGAGTGGCTCTGTCGATTTGAGAGCTAGGGGATCTTGGGGAAGGGCGTTGTCAACCGGGACTGAAGCTCTAGTGTTGGCAGCATTTGCAGCTTCTGCGGCTTCTTCGACAGCGACCTCAGCCATGGCCTGCAGCATCTCCGCAGAGGGCATGTACACATGCATTTGGAACAAGGGAGAGTCCAGAGGGACCCTTGCCTCTCGGAGTGCCGCGTCCCAGCCTTTCTTATAAAATTCCCTCTTGTTCTACTCGAGGACTTTGAGGATTTCGTCGGCAAATTCATCTCGAATTTGCTCCTCTGACTTCTTGCCGCCTCGGCCTCGGCCCTCACCTTGTCTAGCTCCTCTGTAGCTGATAGCCTTTGCGTCGCCCCGTTATCCTCCTCTCAGCATCCTCCAGGGCCGCACTCAGCTTTTTAGTGCTAACCCTGGCGGCCTCGTCGTCCTTAAGGAGTTGGGCAATTAGAGCTACTTGAGAAGAAAGAGTGACATCCCTGGCGACAATGTCCTCTCGGACGGCAGCTAGGGATGTCTCAGCTTCAGTCCTCAGCCTCTCAGCCTCGTGGAGACCCTGCCTCTGATTATGGTAGCACTCATTAATGACAGAAATTTGCTAGGCATTCTACAAAAGAAAAAAGATCAGGCCGATGAAACAAACTTGGGGAAAGGGGTAAAAGAGCTCCAATTACCTAAAACTTACCGCCAGTGAGGTTTGTATGATAGAGCAAAAGAGTTGATTTATGGACCTCCCCCAGTTCTCCTCCACGTCGGCTCGAAAGAGAAGCAGACTCTCACTCACGGTGTACGCCACGTGAGGATCATAGAGGACGGAGTCATTGACCCAAATGACCCTAGAATCCCCATCTCGAACTTGAGGACGTCATTTTGGTGACAGCTAAGGGGGAGTTTGTTGATCTTACTGTTGTTGCTTTTGCTATTGCTGTTGTTGTTGCTGTTGCTGAGGCAATGGAGAGGCCCTACCTCGGCCCTGTCTATCGTGCCTTTACTTTGTTCTCCTCTCCTCCTCAGTCTGGGGGTCTGATTAACCCTAATTAAGACATAATTTAATAGGTAAATTGTGTTAGTTGAATAAAGTTAAACTAATCAAAATAAATCAAATTAGAATTAGTGTGTGAATAAAGAATAATGCATTAATTGTTGTTCTTTTCAGAATTTTTTGCGTCAAAGCTACAAACTACTGGGGAGTCAATTGCATTAAAGCTACAAACTACTCGGGTGCCAATTATCAAAGCTCAAAACAAAGGGGGATCAAAGAATTCAAGGCCACCTAACAAGACTTTTCAAATCCACCTAACAAGATTTTCAAGTCCACCTAACAAGATTCAAAGCCACCTAATAAGACTTTTCAAGTCCACCTAACAAGATTCAAGGCCACCTAACAAGACTTTCACCCTCCCTTGTTGCCTATAAATACCACCCCTTAGGACTTGGAAAACATTCATCTTTTGGTAGTGGAAAACCCTCTAAAAGTATTATTGCTTTCCTTATTTATAACTTTCTTTAAGTATTGCTTTCTTTTATTGTATTCTTGCTTCCTTTTAATTTATTGCTTTCTTTTACTTTAAGTATTGCTTTCTTTTATTGTGTTATTGCTTTCTTTTACTTCCATTGCTTGAGCTTCCTTCTTCCCTTAGAGGAGTGAAACTCTTCCACTTTTCTAGAGCTTTACCAAAGCCGTGAAGGGTGGAACGTGATTCACTCATTCTTTGTCGAAGATCGGCTCCTTGTGTAAAATGTGTTACCTTGTAACTCCTCTACTTGGAGGGATGAGCATCACTCACTTTTCTAGTTTTAACAAAGCCATGAAGAGTGAGTAGTTTCTCATCCAATCTTTAGTAAGAGGTGGTTATCCGGAAGTTAAATTTATGCAATTCGTTTATGCTTAGCTTTAGTCTTTATTTTTTCATAATGTCTTCTCATCATATTGTTGTCTTTATTTTAAGCATGAATAGCTAAATCTCTTAGTTGGCAAAACCAAGAGGAACCTCCACTTGGGTATACCATTTCAACTCATTCTCCTCCCCTCTTTCAGAGTTCAATGGTTCGGTTTGACTGGGTTGAGGGTGGATAACTTGGTGAGTCTTTGATATTCCGTAGGCCTAGTCACGGTTTATGCTTAGATACTCACCAATCTTACCCCTAGCTTCCCACGAATCAATCGTTCATTCATGCTCTATTGGAGGAGGGTTTCGAGTTGAGACAGTATTTCTATTGGAGTGACCTCTTGGATTTGCCAACATTTGTTTCTCATTTTACTAGCATCAAAACAACTTCACCAAACAACTTCCAACAATCAAAGATTTTACACTTTCTTTCTCCCAAAATCACCTCCCCTCGGTTTACTTCCTTCCCCGTGGAAACGACCTTGGAATACCACCAAGTAAAACACGATCCGCGAAAGTCTCCTTGCGCTTGGGGAGCACTTTTGTTCACACATACTCACATTTGAAATCTCATTCATCCACCATTCCGTTGCCCTTTCTTTTGACATCATCCCTAGGAGAGTGACACTCCCCTTTATTCATATACTATACATGCTAAAAGGTGATGTTTATAGGTTAGGAAATAACAAGAAAATTTGTCAAGCAGGGGTCCCAATCGCGGACTTGACCCCGACCAGGGGGCCTTGGAGGTACTGGAGGAGGAGTGCTAGAGCTAGTCCTTGGAGGCACAGGAAGGGGAATGTTGGAACCAGTCCTTGGTGGTGGAACATTGTTGGTTGATCCCCTACCCCTCAAGGAAGATCTCCGGTTCAGAAAGCCCAAATCCATGCAAGGTTGGCGCGACATCACGGCTTTGAGTGCGTCCTCTTGCTCCAAAATTTGCAATATGTTAAAGTCGGGCCAAACCTCTTTCCCTAAAGTACTAACCTTGGCTTGGGCGACGATGGAGGGCTCCCTAACTGTTGTTTCCTCAACTCCTTCTACCTCAGCTTCAGGGGCCCTGTCAGGATCCTCCTCCAAATTTTGCTCGAAGTCCTGCTCCTCTGTCTGCTCAAAGAGCTTAGACCCCCTAGAGGGATCGTATGGCTGGGGAGTTGGGAGAATTTCTTATAACTTGGGGTATATCCCAAGAGAATATGACCTGCTCAACCTAGTCCATCTCCAATATATCCCCAGACCGTGACAAGATCAGCAAAGTTCACTAAATGCTAAGGGGGAGGAGCAGTTTCCCGGAAGGTAATGTCTGCACAAAAGAGAAGAGAATCAGAACTTGATAATAACCTAAAAAATGAAAGAGCCAAGAAGAGAGGGAGAAACCGACGTACTTGTTGTTCGCCACTCTAAAGGGCAGGACAAGACGTCGTACTTGGGGTCGACTCCCTTCTCCCAAGCACCGCCGAAGACTAGCATGTCATCCTTGTATCCCTTGTCAGAATTAGGAAGGTGGGTGACGAGATAAATTGAGGGGTCCCAGGCTTTAAGATAGAAATTTTGTTGGGGCATCATTCTCATTAGGGTATAGCATAAGAGAATGTTCTCGAGGCCTACGTTGACCCCGAGTCGTCTGTTGAGCTCCAAGACCCCTATGATTATCCTAAATGTATTGAGGGCACACTGCCTTGGGAAAAGGCGGAACCTAGATAGAAATTATAGAAGTAATGGAGGGAGGAGAAATCTAATCCCACCCTCCATAACTGCCTTAGTATAAAAAGGCATAGCACCCTCGGTGCCGACGTTATGGTGATGACGAGCAGGGTCGAAGTTGTCAACGACTACACTACGAGGGAAGCCGTAGAGAGCTTTAAAATTTGTTATTTGTTGGGCCCCCTTTACTGTCCATCTCCTCTATCTAGAGGTCCCGACCTCTTGAACCTCGGCGGCAGAGCGATGTCTCGGCATCTTTCAAGGAAAAACGAGGATTTATAAGGTTTTTCTTTAAGGAAGGAATCCTAAGGGTCACTATAGAATATGAAGCGACAAAGGAAGCAAGTTCAGGGACTATCTTGAGAACTTCGGTGTCTCAGAACAGAGAAAGGAAGCNTGTGGAAACGACCTTGGAATACCACCAAGTAAAACACAATTCGCGAAAGTTTCCTTGCGCTTGGGGAGCACTTTTGTTCACACATACTCACATTTGAAATCTCATTCATCCACCATTCCGTTGCCCTTTCTTTTGACATCATCCCTAGGAGAGTGACACTCCCCTTTATTCATATACTATACATGCTAAAAGGTGATGTTTATAGGTTAGGAAATAACAAGAAAATTTGTCAAGCAGGGGTCCCAATCGCGGACTTGACCCCGACCAGGGGGCCTTGGAGGTACTGGAGGAGGAGTGCTAGAGCTAGTCCTTGGAGGCACAGGAAGGGGAATGTTGGAACCAGTCCTTGGTGGTGGAACATTGTTGGTTGATCCCCNCTACCTCGGCCCTGTCTATCGTGCCTTTACTTTGTTCTCCTCTCCTCCTCAGTCTGGGGGTCTGATTAACCCTAATTAAGACATAATTTAATAGGTAAATTGTGTTAGTTGAATAAAGTTAAACTAATCAAAATAAATCAAATTAGAATTAGTGTGTGAATAAAGAATAATGCATTAATTGTTGTTCTTTTCAGAATTTTGTGCGTCAAAGCTACAAACCACTGGGGAGCCAATTGCATTAAAGCTACAAACTACTGGGGTGCCAATTATCAAAGCTCAAAACAAAGGAGGATCAAAGAATTCAAGGCCACCTAACAAGATTTTCAAGTCCACCTAACAAGATTCAAAGCCACCTAACAAGACTCTTCAAGTCCACCTAACAAGATTCAAGGCCACCTAACAAGACTTTCACCCTCCCTTGTTGCCTATAAATACCACCCCTTAGGACTTGTAAAGCATTCATCTTTTGGTAGTGGAAAACCCTCCAAAAGTATTATTGCTTTCCTTATTGCTTATAGCTTTCTTTAAGTATTGCTTTCTTTTATTGTATTCTTGCTTCCTTTTAATTTATTGCTTTCTTTTACTTTAAGTATTGCTTTCTTTTATTGTGTTATTGCTTTCTTTTACTTCCATTGCTTGAGCTTCCTTCTTCCCTTAGAGGAGTGAAACTCTTCCACTTTTCTAGAGCTTTACCAAAGCCGTGAAGGGTGGAACGTGATTCACTCATTCTTTGTCGAAGATCGGCTCCTTGTGTAA